AAATAAATTAAAAAAAAAAAAAAAACAAGCTGGGCAGTGGTGGCACAGGCTTTTAATCCCAGCATTCAGGAGTCAGAAGCAGGCAGATTTCTTTGAGTTTGAGGCCAGCCTGTTCTAGAGAAGTTGTTCCAGGACAGGTTTCAAAGTCTGTTTTGAAAAACAAAACAAAACAAACAAACAAAAACCTAATTCAGGGGGGGGGATGGCTCAGCATTAAGACCACTGGCTATTGTTGTAGAAGTCCCGGGTTTGATTTCCAATTTCCAGTAACCACATGAGAATTCACAACTATCTGTAACTCCAATTTCAGGGGAATCCAACACCCTCTTCCAACACCCTCTTCTGGTCTTCATGGGCACCAAGCACACATGTCATACATGTCAAATTAAATTAAAAGAACCATTCGAATGGTAAATTGTATGTATTTTACTCCAACAGGCACTAATGATAGGCCAAAGGAACTGGCTCACTGATGAGTTTATTGGAGCTACTTGAAGGAGTGTAGGTGGCAAGTGACTACTAATGCTGTATTCCTGGATGCTTCCAGAGTCTCTGCTCCCTCAGCAACTGTTTATTGCTTATATAACCACTAGGAGCTTCTTAGAAGCTATATGAGCCCCACCCCCAGCCTTTGCTATGAAGCTCACCTTTACCTCGAACTTCTGAACCCAAGGTATGCCAGCACAGCTCACTTGTTATGAGTTTTAACTACAATCTAAAATTTTTTTACTTCAAGATGCAAAATGCGGGCCCAGTCCTCCTCATTTTCAGATGAAGAGAACGGAATTAAAGTCCCATGCCTAAGAGAACCATACCATAAGCAAGACTGTTTCTTCCTACATAGCTTCCTACTGTAAACAAGAAAGGGACTCTAGCCAGCCCAGGCCTGGCAAACATGACTCTGGCCGGCCTTGCCCTTCTCCCTCATTCCCTCTGCCTTGCTAAAACTGTTAAGATGACATTCCTAAAGCTGCCACCGAGGTCTATTCCCTTATTTGGTCATTTCCACCTCCTGATGCTGACCAAGGTCCAGCTATAAAAGTATTGAAGTCCAACAATCAAAAGCTCCCTTTGGCTCACCTAACTAACATGCCCAATTAAAATTAAACACATTATCCTAACATGGGGTTTCCCTTTTAACTTTATAAACCACCATTTGCCAATGGGCCATGCAAGTCTCCTCTCTATTGAGAGACAGTCCTTTGCCCCTCTGGGACAAATACCCCTTCCCTCTCTCTTTTGTTCCCTTCCCCTTCTCCTTCATTCTCTATCTCCTGTCATTGTCTTTATTCCCTGATCTTTGTCCCTCTGAGGCAAATAAATCTCCTTTGTACTGAGAACTTGGTCTTGGGGGTTCTGAGCCAATTGTCCCTACACAAGAACTCCTGGAAAAAGCTGTCTACAGGATTGTGGAGAGGTTGGAATGCTGCAGGTCCAGAGACTAATTACCATGTCTTAGGCTAGCTATATCCCCTAGAACAGCCATTCCTTGTCCACCTCTGTGTCAGATCCACATCCTGTGTCTAATAGATGAAAACTTTCGGAATCTGTTAACTCAGCAGACTACTGGCTTTCACCAATCCAAAGGTTAAGACTGCCATCAGTACCTTAGGCTTATAGAAAACCTTCCCCCATCTTGTAACCACTCCATGATGTACCCACCATGTACTGAAGACTTGCCTAGATTTATGATTTTCTTTGTTCTGTAAAACTATGAAACTGGGGTAACCTAAGTCTGTTTTCCCAGGCTATGGTCACTCAAATTACCCCAGAAAAAAATGTTCTTTCCTTTAAAGTGAGAGCTGTTTATTAGGTGGTGTTCTTTGTGTGTGTGTGTGTGTGTGTGTGTGTGTGTGTGTGTGTGTGTGTGTGTGTGTGTGCGCCAACACTACAAAACAACTAAAAACCTACCACCAACCCCCAAGGAGCAAGTATAATGGAAAGGGAAAGGGTGGGTGACACAAAGACACAAGGAAACAAGTCACAGGAAGCAAGATGAAAGAGAAGTGCCACCTTTTTTAAAGTAACAACCACAGTTGGACTGACTGAAGAACTTATAAATACAAGATGACCCCTGCACAGAGATAGCCTGCGGCTATCGTTTATGATGCTCCAGGTAGAGTGGAGGTCTGGAATTTTCCATCTACATTTCTTTTCTTAGGCAGACATTACAGTTTCCATCTGAAAATATCACTAGAAGAAAAAATTTAGGCAAAACCCGGCCCATACATCAAAGGCTGTGGTTTCCATTCTTGACCGTGAGCAGACTTGCCAGCACACACACTCTGCTACCCAAATATAGTTCAGTATCTTCACAGACAGCACTGTGGTTTTCCTGGGGTTGTTTCTGAGGGGTGATAAAGGGGTTCAGACTGGTCAGGCGGAAGGAAGGCCTATTGTGTTTTTGACATGGTCATAGATGTTCCTTCAGAGAGCAGCCCAGCAGGGCATCCTTCCTCCAGAGCCTTCCCAGTTAGGCAAAGCCGCTCCCCTGGCCACACTGGCTTTTTAGCAGGACCTCTGCTTCTGATTCACTTAGAGGATGACTGTCTTTTCTTGGAGTTATGTTCTCTAGCTTACAACCACATACCACATGTTTCAACTTAAATGTTGAAACCTGAATTGAGACATACTGTAGTACAAGATATATAGTGGACTTCCTTAATAATTTAGAATACTTAGAATTGGCCATATAGCTTGACATAGTAACAATTTGACATATTGAGCTAAATAAATATACTATGAAAATTAACTTCACTGCTCTTTTGGCATTTTGAACACTGTTACTAGAAAATCATAAAGTGCATACTGGGCTCACATTGCATTTCTACTGGACTGTATCATTCTAGATATGTAACAAGCCCTATTTACTGAATAGAGACATGAAGTCCAGAAAGCACCCTGAGAACTTGGAAGAGGTGCTAAAAACTCAAGCTGATCATATTCAAACTCGGGGAAGAAATCCTCCAGTCTTTTCACTTCTTACCACGCAGCACAGGGAATGAGAGGCTGCCTGGACAAGAATTCTGGCCTGGTTTCTTGTTAGCCTGACAAGTTTCTTCACTTGGAGAGCAAACACTTTTACTATAGTGTGATCAAAGGACGACACCCTAACCCTGCCCAAGCAGGCTGATAAAGCCTAAAATCACAGGGAAAACAGCATTCAGCAACAGAGCGTTCTTGATATATATTTACTTTGATTTCTGTGAGTATGTTTCCATAGCTAACTTAGTGATCTTGGGATCATGTTATAGGACTGAATTCTAATCTTGTTCCTTTTTCTCCACTCAAATCATTTCCAAAGAATTCACTCTACAGGAGACCAGGGTATACTTCCTAAGCAAATCTATCATCGCTCCCATAGTTATTTATCCATACCAATGTCTACCACGTTCCCTTTCAAATATATATATCCACATGGGCCCATGCATTAGTGAATAATTAAAACTAACTTGCAAATCTGGCTGCTGGGGTGGAAATGTGGCTCAGCTGATAAAGAGCTTTCCTAGCATACATAAAGCTCTGGGTTCAATACCCAGCACATGATGTAGGGATGTCGGCCATACTGTAACCATAACACTTGGGAGGTGAAGGTAGGAAGATCAGAAGTTCAAAGTTATCCTCAGTTACATCACAAATCTGAGGCAAGCCTGGGCTACATAAGACCCTGTCTCAAAGGGAAGAAAATCTGGCTGCTGACCATTTTCTCAAGACCATTACCAATATCCTACTATTAATTCCCAAATTTAAAAGTGGCCATCTTCAGGAAAAATAGCTCAGTGGTACAGAGCAATGAACAGGCTGGGCATGGTGGTACATGCCTTTAATTTCAGCACCTGGAAGGCAGAGGCAGCCTGATCTCTGAGTTAAAGACCAGCTTGGATCCAGTTCCAGGATAGCTATAGCTATACAGAGAGACTGTCTCAAAAAAGAAAAAAGAGAGCTGGAGAGATGGCTCAGAGGTTAAGAGCATTGGTTGCCCTTCCAGAGGTTATGAGTTCGATTCCCAGCAACCACATGGTGGCTCACAACTATCTATAATGAGAACTGGTGCCTGTTTCTCACATAAAGTTGTATATGCAGATTGAGTACTAAATCTTTAAAAAAAGAAAAAGGAAAAACAAAACAAAATAAAAAGAATGTCTACTTCTTTTAAACAGTTTTACAGATTAATGAATAAAGAACAATTCTTTGACTAGTTGTGGCTGCATTTTTCCTACCACAGAAAGGACAAAAGATCACTAAACATAAAACAGCACATTTCTCTTTCCAAAGATCACAGGCATGGCTTATGGCTGACAAGTTAATATAACATGCTGGGTGTGGTTACACAAGCCTTTAATTCCAGCACTCAGAAGGCAGAGGCAGATGATCTCTGATTTTAAGCCTAACCTAGTTTACAGAGCGAGTTTCAGGATAGCCAGGCTACACAGAGAAACACTGTTTTGAAAATCAAATAAACAAACAAATAAAAAATTAATATGACACAATAGCAAAACAGCATAACTCAAGTCTTTCCTAGTGTAATCCTCCACAGCACCTAAAGTGTCCAACACAGAGCACAGCTGCCCTTCACACTGCCTTCCACTTTGAAACCACAGGAACATAAAGGAGCTTTCATATGTACTCAACAATTAAGTACATAAAAAGGGAAAAGATTTTAATTAGCACAGTTAAAGATTACAGATTACTAATGATCCTTTCTCAAAAATGAAAACCAAACCAAAGAATGGCCTTTTTTTTCTTTTAAACAGTTTTACAGGTTGACTCATTATTGCTGTATCTTTCTTACCAGAGCAAGAACAAAAGGTCCTTGAGAATTTAAACAAGTATCTTTCCTATTTGCCTTTAAGTAACTGAGACAGACAGCTAGATGAGACATAAAACAACTGCAGAAATATAACAATACCCTGTAAACAAGTATCTTTCCTATTTGCCTTTAAGTAACTGAGACAGACAGCTAGATGAGACTTAAAACAACTGCAGAAATGTAACAATACCCTGTATGGTGCTAGGTTTGGTGTCAGGTCCTTTTCTTCTGTCCAGTCCTGACTCCTTTACTCCAGTCGCTTTATCCACACAAACCACCCCTGCAATGTCAGCAGAGGCGTGAGGTTTCCATGTGCAGGGTCTCCACTTTCTCTCCTAGTTTAGAATAGAGGATCTCTATTCTAGTATTTCCATTTATTTCAACTCATTTATCAGGACTTGGGCAGCTACTTGCATATGAGAGCAAATTATCTTTAAAGGCTCTTACTTCCTTTATTGTACAGTACTTCCTCATCTGAACTCTGTGTCTATTGCTTTGAACTATATTTAAGCCAATGAAACCAAGTTGAGGCTTTTTTTGGCCTGTATTCAGTCAAATCATGTAACACAGTGTGTTACTCAAAAGCTCCACAGTGCTGAAGCAATAAGACAACACCCTAAATGTCTTAACTCATATCCTGCTAAGCTGTCTTATATTCTTACAAAGTTAACATTTACCCACAAACTTACTAAAAGCATTTGCAATGTGAAAGCAACCATCTCAAAAAAGTGACCAATAACAACCCAGCACAGAAGGAGCTAAATGTTCATCAGCCCACCTCCAACTTAGAGGCCGGGATGCTGGGCACTGGCTGGTTCAACAATGCAAATTGTTTTTTCTAATGCAGATATCCCAGACAAATACAACAAGAGGGGAACAGCCTATAGTGCTCAGGACTCACAAGTCTGACTGAGTTATCTCTTGAGACACTGTGATGTTTTCCAGAGAAGAATACGAGCATCTTTTGTTGAAGCTGAGGGGGGAAAACGAGAAATACAGTCTGCCTTCCTCTTCAATTAATGTCTTGACACATTGGGACTACAAGAAGATCTCTAGCCTTTGTTATAAAGGAGTCATTTTCACAATGGTGCTTCTAGTTTCTAAGGCCTGAGGTTAACCTTAAAAGACTAAGAAAGCAATTCATTGCTTTATCACCCAACTCCAGACACTGGGTGTCAGCAGTCTTTATATAGTTGGAAAGAAGCAAAAGGCAGCTGAAAGACATGTGGAGGGACATCCCTCTTACAGGAAAGAGCTCAGTGCTTGGAGTGGTAGGAGTCACGTCAGACGGGCATAGACAAAGTAAGCTTCAGAGCTCTAGGCTCTGTTAGTATTCCTAAGGAGACACATTCCTCAGCAGCCATCTACTTTTTATTTAGCTTATTTGTGTGTGTGTGTGTGTGTGTGTGTTGGTGTGTGCGCGCATGCATGTTTTGTCTGTGATGTATGTATGTATGTATGTATATATGTATGTATGATGTGTGAATACATGCATGCCTGGTATCTGCAGAGGTCCGAAGGTAGCATTGAAAGTCTCTAGGACTGGAGTTACAGATAGTTGTAAGCCACCACATGACTGCTAGGAATCAAACCCAGATCCTCTGCAAGAACAGTGCTCTAAACCACTAAGACATCTACTCAGCTCATCACTTCTTTTTATCCTTAAGAGATCTTCTGGAAGATTTTCTTTCAATGATCAATTCCACCACCCCTCCACCCTGCCCTGCCAATGTGCCAGGCTTACTGCCAACCTGATTGAGGCCAATCTAGACACTCAGGACTAGCCAGCCATTTTTTCTCAAGAATTTGCCTACCATGAATTTTATAAATAGGCTTCAGCATCTTCTCCCTTAAAATGAATCTATTGGGATCACTCGATAGTCATTATCATGCCCCACTCTATTCTTTACACAATTTTTTCTAAGAGTAGTCCTACTTTCTATTTACTTTTCAACCCACTGCAATCTAGAGACATCTCTCATTAAGGACACATCTACCTAGGAATGTTAGCATAGTCTTGTAATCCCAAGACTGGGGAGAAGGAGGCAGGAGGCTTGAAGTCTGAACTATGGAGTGACCTTGTCTCAAAAAAGAAGGCCACATTCAACACAGAGTTTGGTCATCACCTTACATTTGACCTTCTCTGGGCCAGTTGGTCTCTCTGCCCTTCCTTCACACTCTTTTTCTTCTTCTGTCCCCCTCCCCCTTCTCTCCCCGTATTTCTTTTTCAGTTACGGTGCTGAGACAGGTTATTTCTATATAACCTAGGTTGGACTCAAACTTGGGATCTTCCAGCCTCCCATCTACTACCACTGCAAGTGTATACCACTATGCTCAACTACATTTTGCTTTCAGATAGGGTCTCACTGTGTAACTCTGGTTGGTCTGGAACTCAGCACATAGATCAGGCTAACCTTAAACTTTATAGAGATCCTCCTGCTTCTACCTCCCAAATACTTGGATTAAAGGCCTGGCCTCATTTGATGTTTTTAACTGAGGGTTTCCTAGAAATTCCCAATATCTTAGCTTCCAGACCATCATATGTGTACCTCCTCTTACTTGCTTGCCTTTACATATGACTACTTCCCAGATCCCTCCCCTCTTTAGACACATTCTCTCTGATGACTTCAACAATCCAACAGCTTTGTCTTAATTATCCCTGTATCATGTGAATACTTCCCTGGTCTTCTGCCCTATTTCACCTGAGGAACGTTAATTTAGTTTGTGACAGGGCAAGTGCAGAGGTTCCTTCCTCTTGTATTCCTGTTGAGGGCATTTCAGGTTTAACTAGGATTAGATATCCTTGATGGGAAGTCACATGGAAAAGTATCCAACTCTATTCTAGGAACAGGAGATCAAGATGACCCAGTTAACTTACCCTAACCTGTTAAGCTGCTAGTTTGTACAAAACCTCCCCTCCAGCTAACTGCTTATCTTAGCTTCTGTTAAACTACTTGCTTGTGCAAACCTCACCCCCACCCCCACCCCCACCCCCATACCCCCAGCTGCTGAGAGAGATACCAAGACATAGTTTTTGCCATTATAGGTCCGTTGCTTTAAATGTTCACTCTACACTTGTTTCCCAAATACCTGAGTATAGTCTCAGTTGGCTGGAATAAAGACTTTCAATTGGCTATAAACTATGTCTGAGTAGTCTCCTCTGGAGGGCTGCCCATAACAAGTTCATTAATCCTCAATTAAACAAAACAAAAAAAGCTTATCAATATATCCTAGCCATTATCTTAAAGGACTTGATTTTCTAAATAAGATTTTTAAAAATTGAGGATAAATATTGGCCAAGTGGTAGACTGTATGCTTAGCACACACAAGGCCCTGGTTGTATCCCCAGTACAAAAACAATAAAGGGAGGGAGGGAGAAACATCATCCATAAATGCAACGAAATACAAGGGGGACACTTGGGGAGATGGCTCACTGTGTAAAAGTGCTTGCCCTACTGTAGGAGGAAGCCTGTATGCGGCCATTAACCATGTGACTTACTAGACCACAAGACATAACTGATGGAGAAGATAAGCTTTTAATATTTAACTAAGCTCTGGAAACAGGTGAAGAGACCACATGCCTCATAGAAAAGTACTTCTCATTCCAAAAGAAAAAAGAGGTCTCAGGGGCTTTTCTGAGATCATAGTGGAAAAATCCCCACTCTTAAAGAGAAGTTCTTTGTTCTCTCATGAAGTTCCTTTAAAGGCAGAGATTGTTCTGACTCTTCTGGAGTTTTCCAGCTCCACTGAAAAACTAAGAGTGTCCCCAGGAAATTAGAGCACCAAATAAGAGTTAGCTTGCAAGTGATTAAACAGGCCTTTGTTTAATCTGCATATTAATGATACAGCGTCTTCCTTTATAAATTAACTTCTACTTTATAATTTTTAGTTTGTTTTGTTACATTTGCAAACAGTCTCAAATTCAGATTCAATTATTTCCAAAACAAAGTATCATAATAGGGGAGTTATAACCATAACAGCTAAGACAGGACCCTGAATAGCAGAACTTGATCCTTTATGATGCTAGTTTTGGAGGCTTTCTGAGTCTAACTAGGCAAGCTACAATCGCCAATACCTACTTGGATCTTAACCTCTTCAATGTGGCAAGAGAAAACAGCAACTTGTAAATAAATTCCCAGGACAGTAGCTCACAGGCATGGCAGGAGAGAGATAAGGCTGGCAGAGATCTGAATGAAAATGAGGACATGATGGGTTGGAGAGATGGCTCAGAGGTTAAGAGCACTGACTACTCTGCCAGAGGACCTGAATTCAATTCCCAGCAATCACATAATGGCTCACAACCATCTGTAATGAGATCTGGTGCCCTCTTCTGGCCTTCAGGAATGAATGCAGCAGAATACTGTATACATAATAAATAAATAAATCTTAAAAAAAAGAAAAGAAAATGAGAGCATGACCATTCCAAAGTATAGTTGAGAAAAAGGATTTTATTATAGATATGAGGGAGAATTCAGCCAGAGGCACCTGGAGGAGTCCAGAGCAGATTGAACATGGCCAGCAGGATAGACTGGGCCATGAGAAGATGGAGGAGGAGAGAAGAGAGGGGGCCTAGACAGGGAACCAAGAGAGATCCAAGAGTGGAACTAAGAGCACATGGCTGAAATGGCAGTTTTTTAAGAGAATCAGAAGCTGAGGAAGAGTAGGGAAGCTCTGGGCTGGAGACATTTAAGGTGGGGGCAGGTGTGAGCAGAGAGGGGCCACAGATGCTGGGTGAACTTGGCAGCCAGGGCATGCATGTTGGTATGCTAACAGATACCTGAGTCACTTGTCTGAGTTTCTTTGGGACCAGGTAAGATGCCTATTAGAGAAAGCTCTGAGGGCAGTCTGATTCTTTCATTCTTTGAAAAGAATGACAGTATTTGTGGTGGTTTGAATAGGAATGGCCCCCAGAGACTCATGTGTTTGAATGCTTGGCCCATAGGGAGTGATACTATTAGAAGATGTGGCCTTGTTGAAGTAGGTGTGGCCTTGTTGGAGGAAGTGTTTTACTGTAAGGTCTCATATATGCTCAAGCCATGCCCAGTGTGACAGTTTTACTTCCTGTTACCTACAGATCAAGATGTAGAACTCTTAACTCCTTCTCCAGCATGCCTGCCTTCATGTTACCATGCTTCCTGTCATGATGATAACGGACTAAACCTCTGAAACTGTAACCAGCCCCAATTAAATGGTTTCCTTTATAAGAGTTGCCATGGTCATGGTGTCTCTTCACAGAAACAGAACCCTAACTAAGACAGTACTCTTTTAAGAAATAGTTCTTTGTGGGAGACAGCACTATCTCCTTAATAATTCTAGACAAGCTAGAAACATGGGGTTCAGCCTTGGTTCCTTAATGTTTCTAACTAATCCCCTGAATTCCAAGCCTTTTATTTTCCCCTTTCTTTTAGTATCTTGGAATCTGTTTGCTTCCTTCCCCCTCAGCAGAAGGCATTATTGCTGGTACAACATCTGTTGCTTGGATTAGTGCAACAGGCTTTCTGGTCTCTGAAGCTCCATCACTGCACACCTACTACATGCTTTCCTAAGCTTAGACACATTATCTTCTACTTAACACTGTCTTCTAGGCTGGACCTCATTTCTATGCATTCTGTTTCAGTTGACAAGTCTTGCTATCCCAATCAAGTAACAGTCACTTAGGGACAAAAAAGATACAGGGTTTGATTCTATCCTCTGGTTTAAGTTTGGTCAATGAATCTAACCTAACCTTTTTTTTGTTTTTTTTGTTTTGTTTTGTTTTTGTTTGTTTGTTTTTAACTTTTTGAGACAGGGTTTCTCTGTAGCTTTGGAGCCTGTCTAGGAACTCACTCTGTAGACCAGGCTGGCCTGGAATTCACAGAGCTCCACCTGCCTCTGCCTCCTGAGTGCTGGGATTTGATGAGTGCTGTATATATATGAATAAAACTCTGATTGGCCAGTAGTCAGGCAGGCAGTATAGGCAGGGCTATCAGACGAGGAGAAGGCTGGGGAGAGGACACAGAGAGAGGCCACCAAGGGGCGCCATGTAGCTGAGGAAGGAGTACCAGGTCCAGAGGACCCTTCTCCGGTAAGGTAAGACCATATGGAAATACTCAGAGTAATAGAAATGGGTTAATAATTAAGAGAGAGCTAGCCAGTAAGGAGCCTAAGCCATCGGCCAAACAGTTTAATAATTAATATATGTCTCTGTGTGTTTATTTGGGGCTAAATGGCTGTGGGACTTGGTGAAACAGAAACCTCCATCTAAGGGATTAAAGGCTTAAAGGCGTACACCACCACTGCCCGTTGTTTTAGTTTTAATTTTATGTGCCTTGGTGTTTTGGCATGAGTTTCAGGTCCCCTGGAACTGGAGTTACAGGCAGTTGTAAGCTGCCATGTGGTTGCTGGGA